TCATGGGCAGAGCCACTGCTTCCGCCCCAGGAGGGACAGGGCAGAGGCTATCCTGCACTGCCGTGCTGTAGGACACAGCGGACACCGCTGGCCTGGCCCGGGCACAGGGGATTTGTCCCAAACCCGGTCACCGCTGCGGCCCCAGCCCTGCCAGCTGGCGCTCTGAGCTGCATCCAGCTTCCCAGGAAGAAATGGGAGACCCAGGAGAGCTCGGCTGCCCAGGGCTATGAACCACCCTAAGATCTCCGTGCCCACCCTGCTCCCACCGCGTGCGGGCCGGTTCCTCCCAGCACAGCGAGGCACTCACCCACTTCGGTAGCACACGTCACCAGCCACCTCACCATCTCCCGCCGCCGCCAGTTGAGCGTGGACAGGGTCATGCGCATCACCTGCAAGGCAAACGTGGGGTGACCGGCCGCCCCACAGGGCTCCAACGCGGCCACCCCACACAGTGGGACTCCCCAGAAATCCCTCCTGCCTGGCCAGCTACCGGCCCCCTGTCACTGCCTTGCCTCCTCCGGCCGCAACGCGTGGGGCAGAAGGGCCACCGTCATCCCCAGCGCCATCCCGTACCTGGAGCCCCAGCTCCAGCGCCACGTTGAGCGCGGCGTGTCCGAGTTGCTGTCGGCCGGCGTGGCAATCTTGAACGCGTCCTGGGCCAGCTTGAAGATCAAGGAGGAGGAGTGGATGTTCTTCTGGATGGCTTCCAGCACCGTGCGTAGGCGCAGCATGTCCCCTGGGTGCAAGGCAAGAACGGTCAGATGGCTCGGCCTCCCCCCACCCTGCCCTCGAGCCGCATCTCCTGCCTGCACCGGGTGGTCAACAGCCCCATTGGTACTGTCAGCCCCTCTGGACACGCGCAGGGATGATGGATCAGGCCCTGCAGCCCAACAGCAAAACGGGTCTCCTTCCCAGGAGGTGACACACCCTACAGCACCCATTCTTGCTCAAGATCATCCTCTCATGGAGAACTAAAACAACTCTGAGCGATCCCAGACACATCCTGAACATCAGCAGACATCTCGAGAACCTGGATCTCCCACCCTGGGCTCAAGTCTGACAGCTGTAAAGCCGGTTCTTCCCAAGGAAGGAGGGGTTTGGGGAGATGCCCGGTGCTGAACGGCTGCAGAAAGGTCAGACTTCATTTAGGAACATTAAAAAGAGGAGGAAAAGCTGTTTGCTGCACACATCCTGCCTTGCCAGTAAGTCCCTTCCCTCTGCAAGGCCGGCAAAGGCTGGGCCAGGGTCACGCAGACCCGCTGCGGCTTGGTCCTGGATGCCCCAAGTCAGGCCCACAACTCTCATGACTGCAACAGGCTGAGATACCCCCAACGACGGGGGTTCCCGGCACAACACCCAGTGATGCTGTGGGTCTCCTGCCTCAGGAGGCCGTGGGTGCTAGAAGGGTACGTGATGGCACTGGGAGATGGGGTAGGAACTTGGAAGAGGGACCCATCACAGCACATTAATACCACGATCCTACATCTGGTTTGGGAAATCCTCCTGTCAGCCCCCGAGGGACACAGGGTGGGGACCTTTGGTGCGGGTGCAAACCAGAGACACCAACATGCCACATCAGACTCCTCTCTGCCTTGTTCCAGGTTCACGTTTCTACTGCCACAGTTGTAAACCGGGCAGACGAAACTCACGCAAAGACCACCAACCACCACGCAGCAGCAGGAAAAACCGAGCGCTGCACCTGGGCACGCAGGCGTCTCGTCTCGGGTGACTAACAGCTAAAGATATCGCCTGCCACCCACAGTAGCCGCTGGCACTGCCACCAGCACCCCAGCCTTCCCGAAACAGCTCGCGGGGGCGCAGCCGAGAGAGGCTGCGAGGATGCAGGATCGCACTGGGACACGCTGCGGTGAGGGAAGGCCGAGGGAAAGGGACGGTGGGAACAACCGACGCGATGCAATGGCCCTACGCCCCGGCATAAAAACTTCATCCCCATTGGAAGGGAGGAGAAACGAAAGGATAAGCCAGGTACGAGCTCTCCATCTGCAAGGCAAGGCAGGACCTGGAAAAGGCCCTGGAAAAGCAGCCAAGAGGAGGAGGGCTGGAAGGAGAGAAGAGGCCGATCAGCGAGGCTGGAGCTGGCTGACGGCTCATTTAAAGCAGCCCCGTCCCCGTCAGGCTGGCAGTACCGAGGGCTGGAGGCTGCGCAGACCATGGGGGACAGCAGTGGGCAGCAGTAGCTGCTCGGCTCCCTGACCCTCATGGGGCACGAGGCGCTCACCGGCTTGGTGGGGTTGATTTCTGGATGGAGGGGTGTTTAATGAAAAGCCTGTGCTCACCTTCATCACTCAAGGAACCGAAAGGGCCCGAGACACCAGTGAAGAGGGGTTTTATGAGCCCCCTGAGGCTGGGACCAAGGTGTCCCACCCCTCCCAGCTGTCCCCATCTCCCGAAAGCCGCACGTGGCTCGGTGCACAGGGAGGTCTTCTCCCTCTTACAGCCCGTGAGATCATTACGAGAGGGCAGGAAGAGACAGAGCCAAGGTAAAAGGATAAGAAGCTTCAAACCAAACCATGGCAGAACCCACCACGTGTTTGGCAGGGCAGCTGACGGTGCTGCGGGGCAGGCATGGTCCAGCATCACCCAGGGGCACTACCCAGGACGCGCAGCACTGCGGTCGGCATCCCCGCAGGGTTGCCTGCACCTCCTGGGAACATCCCATCCCATCCCATCCCGCTGGACCACAAGCCTTGAGGCCCAGCCCCAGAGATCCCAGACACCAGTTGGCTGCTTGTGGGGCACCCAGCCAGTCTCTGCCAGGGCCTGAGGGAGCATAAGCTCCCGCTTTTCTCCGGGAAAATCCCTTCAGCGCTCTTGTGCGGCACCGTGCCGTCCCCGCCGTCCAGCGCTGGCCCCCCCACCAACCTTTGGCTGCCGTGAGCATGGTGGAGGCCAGCTCACACTGCTGCGACTCCAGGTGCCCCAGGGTGAACCAGCGCGGGTATCTGCTGGGGACCACCGAGACCAGGTGGTGGGGGTGAGTCACGTCGCCGGACGGTGCCGTGGTCTCCAGGACGGGCAACCTGAAGGGCAAACGGGAGGAGGCAACATGAGACACCAGCCCGGCTCCGGCTTTGTCCCCCACCATCGCGGAGGCGAGGGAGGGGCTGCGTGCGCCGCCTCTGAACGCATCCTGCTGCCGGGCATGCGTGGGGGCTCCGAGCCTGCATGCTCAACACATGGACACAGGGATCAACCTGAGACCAACTTGAAAGGAGGAGAATGATCCGTGAAGTGATTTATAAACTTGTAAGGAAAAAAAAAAAAAGAAAGCAGGAAAAAAAAAATAAGGCAAAATCCCTCCTCCTTCCCCGCTCCTTTCATGTCGGAGCACCCGGCAGAACTCCTGGCTTTATCATCTGGTTCTTCTTATTAAACCGTCCGGTTGTGATCACAAGCAGCAGCACATTTCCCCAGGGCCTCCGCAGCCGGTTTGGGTTACCTGCTTATCTAAAAGCCTGGAAAACCCCAGGGAGAAGGAAGCCTAAGGAAGGGGAGCAGGCATCTCACGTTGCCAGCCGTGGTGACAAAATCACGTTGGCTCTCAAACCCCCAAGCTGGCGCTGGGGTCACTAACGCGATGGCCAGCCAATGCGTGCAGGAGGGAAATTCTCCCAGACATGGAGAGGATCCAACCATCTCTGCTTTCCTTGCTCGTGGGCTTGGGTACCCACAGGGCAGCAGAAGCCCAACCTTCCCAGCCCACGTGAGAGACAGCCTGACACAGGGGTCCCCAGCTGGGAGCCGGCGAGGGAGCAACGCGCACACCCAGGGCCCTGGGCAGCTGCATCTGGTGGGCCATGGTGGCCCCGTGCACTGCAGAGGCCCTTGGATGCTCTTCTAGCTCTGCCTGTCCTCCAAGGAGCTCCTCCCAGGACAGGATTTCGGAACTTCCCTCAGCACTGGAGAGAGACGGCCCATTTCACCGAGGAAATGCCGGAAGAAAGACGGTGTCAGAGGGAGAGGGCATTGGGACACTCTGAGGTTGATGGTTCTTGAAGCAGTGACTCGTTTGGGAAATTCCAGCCTTTTCAAGACCCATCCAGCCCCTGCCAAAACACTGCAGTACGTGGGCTGAGTCTGAGGTGTGTCATGCAGGGGGGACGGAGATGGGGCAGCTCCCAGCATCAGCCCTGTCCCCGGTGCCAGAGGTGGAGCAGGGCTTGAATGGAGAACAGAGTGGGACTGTGTGCTCTCCGCCCGGCTCTGGGACATCCTGGGGCCCAGGGTAAGTCATCAGCCCATCTGTGCCGGGACAACAGCCCTTCCTGCAGGCAGGGAGAGCTGCAGGATGCCCGAGGCCTGGCAGACAGAAGGCAGATGACAGCACCATCCTGCCTGGGACCTGCACCAGTGGGCAGTCCAGCCTGGAGCGAGGGGTTGGACGCAGGGCTGGACCAGCAGACTCCATCAGGCCCATGCAAATCCCTACGGATGGGGCTGGAAAAACAAGAATCATCCAAACAGAGAGCAAGAGTCTCTTTGCACTGCTGCTCAGTGCCCGGGCAGCCTCACATGCTGCGCAGGATGGCACCAGGGATGGCAAGCTCCTGCCTCCAGTCCCATCCCTGCTCTAGGGTTGCTCCCAGCTTTCCAGTGGAGCGGAGGAGGGAGGCAAAACAGGGGGCAGAGATGGAATTAAACATGCACCAACCTCATGGCCCGCAAAGCCAGCTTGTACGCCAGATCTGCATCGTGGGGCAGCAGGGCAGAAAACAGGTATTTGGCAAAGGTGTGCATGGGGACACTCTCACGGTGGATGACTTCTCCCAGGCCGCTGAAGGGACCACCTAGGCGGAAGCAGAGCCCATCAGCCATAATTAGCACAGCAGGATCTGTGGCTGGGGTTGGCACCACCTCAAAGCTTTGAGGATCTGCTCAGCAGCTCCCTGGTGTGTTACTCAAGCTGGATCCAGGGCAAAGAGCTGCTCTTTCCTTTTCTAAAAACCTCTTTAGGTCAAAAACCCTCAGAAACTGAGGACACGTGCTTAGCACCCCCCACCACAATGCCTCTGAGGTGGTCTGGCTGCAGGGATGTCAGCAAACCCTTGCTCTGCCAGATGATGGGCAGAGCAGCCATGCTATACGTGTCGCACCACACCCACAGAGGAAGAAGCCAGAATATCCCTTATTCCAAGGCATAAACCTTGGAAAGGGCACCTTGGAGATGTCACCAGCACTCAGCTAAGACACAGGAGCCAGCCAGATGGACCAAGCCCCCACCTTCCAGCAGCAAGATGCACTGCTTCCGCAGGGTCTGCACCAGCACCGGGTCCAGCTCCAAGTCCTGCAGCCGGGCGATGATCTGCTCCTCGTTGCGGCAGACCTTGTCCTGGGCGTAGAGGCCTTCAGGCATCACCCTCTGCTGACCCATCCCCATCAGGGCCACCTCTAAGGCCAGGGACAGGTAGGACTCGCCGCTCTCTTGGCTGCCAGTCGCGACGGGCACATGTTGATACACTGGGGGTTTGGAGTCTCCGGCATCTGGAAGAAGGGGGAGAGATGAGGAAAGGTTAGAAGAACATTCCTAAATGGCAGGACCACAGCAGCGAGAAGAACCCCCCAACTTCAGGAGCAAGACCCACACTTCCCTTCCGCCTGCCTTTGATCACCCAGAGATGATGGATAACAGCTCCCTGTGGGAGATGTGGGCTTCACCCTCCTTTCTGCTCTCACTTGGAGATGCAGGAGACCCGAGACCTGTGCAACAGGGTGCACGGCTGACCCCAGAGCCTTCTAGTGGGACAGCACGCCTTGTCCCAGCTCTGCCAAGCTGCTCTCCCACTCTGCTCTGTCTGCAAATCCTGAAGGCTGGGAAAACTCAGGGTACCAACTCCCCCTCTCTGCATTAGGGTTCTGCCCTGGCTGCTCCTGTGAAGGTGGAGAGAGGGGAGATTTGGAGCCCAGGAGTCCTGAGCCCCAAATGTGCACCCCGGGCCTGCCCACCGGGCTTGGTTCAGCTGCAGCCACCGGGAAGCGGTCAGACATTGGAATAGGTTGCCCAGGGAAGTGGTGGAGTCACCATCCCTGGAGGTGCTCAAGGAACATGTAGACATGGCGCTTTAGGACGTGGTCTAGTGTGTACGACAGTGTTGGGTTGATGGTTGGACTGTAAGGTCTTTTCCAACCTTAGTGATTCTGTGAAGGCAGCCAGGAGGAGCGCTTGGTACCTGAAATTTCAAGGCAATTTTCCTCTTCTAATCTACAAGCTTCAGTCAGGGTGAGGAAGAGGCAGCCGATGGGGTTTAGAGGGTGGCCTACCCAGCCCTCCAAGTTGGTGATGGTTGTTGCTCCTCGCTGCAGCAGCTCTGCAAAGAGAAGAAACAGAAAGACATTAAAAGTGAGGAATTTAAGGATGGTTCTGCACCCAGAGAGGTCTTGGACCCCCGAGGCCTTTTCTTACCCACGGACCTGGGACACAGTAGCTTGCGAGGGCAAGGAGCAGCTGAGAACAGCCATGCCACAGGCTGCCACAGACATCAGAGGGAGCTGGCACCCAATAAAAAAGAAAAACAGGTGCCCCTAAGGCCACATAAGGCTTGTTCTGTTCCAGAAGGACACGAGGGGCTGCAGAGTCCCAGGATGGGGTTTATAAAGTCAGACCTGCAGCTTATGGGCTCATTTGCAATGGTAGTCTGAATGTTTTGGAAATACAAGGAGAAATCTCTCTGGAGATGACAAAGACTTGCAGAGAGTCTTAGAAGCTCCATCTTTTGATGGTCTCAGCCTGGCTGAGCTAGCAAGGCCCAGGAATCACCAGCCACCAGCAGCACTGCAGTAACTGACCCCAGCTCTCTGCCAACTGCAATAGGAGCAGCACTGGCCCGTCTCCTGGTACAACTTATGCAGCGAATGCAAGGTGGAGGTAGCACACAGAGCCAGTCGCTGCAGCTCTGCAGACAAGCAGCTCCTCTTGCACACAGGCATCACCCACCACTGCTTGAGCAGCCCTCGCAGGCAACCAGATATGGCAACAGTGGGAACAAGAACAGCCCTAGGACAGCATGTGGACATCTCTGTCCTTCGCAGGTGGGTACCAACGCAGTCTGGCTCAAGCTGTAAGGTGCATCAGTTTGTGTGATACAGCATTGTCCACCTCTGGTGCTCTGGATGGGGCAGCACTGCTCTCTGCGATGGAAAAGACTTTCTCAACCCACTCAGACACCCCAGTTAGACCTTATGGAACCCTATTCCCATGGCTCTGCTCATACCTTTCTTCTGATGCTTATATATTTCCAGCTGCCTTTGCTGCTGCAGTCGCAGAGTGTTGATTATGGCAACAGTTAGTCGGAGAGCTTCTCTGGGATAGCCGTGGGAGCGCAGGGCATCCACCCGAGCGCAGGCTGTCGGGACATGTTCTGCAAGGCAAGGACAAACACAGGGGCATGGCTGAGCCAAAGGAGCACAGAAATTCAGGGGATGCTACTGATGAGGGGAGAGAACCTGACAGCACACGCTTCAGGGCATTTTCTTCTACTGGTCTTCCCCACGTGCCAGCTCAACTCCTGCTCCCTGCCTCAAAGTCATCTCTTTCTCCCTGCAGGGATGCCTACCAGGAATATGAACGGGATGCCTACCACGTTCAACCCACAGCAGCCACGTCAGTCCCTAAATCCCCACCTCCACAAACCACATCTAGCGGAAGCATTTCCAACCCACCGTTGCTGCAGTGCTCCAAGCACAGGGAATTACGGCCCCGCCGCTCACTTCTCCTAAAACCTACACAGCTTACGGTGATTTCTCTCATTGCTGTGTGCCCAAACACTTCTTGGTGTCTCAGACACCTCTCCCTGCTCTCATGGCACTGGTGATGGTACATGGGGTGAGGCTGTGGATCCAGCACTGCACTGGGGGCACTGGCAGATTCAGGGTCATGTTTTGAACCACTTCCTTAACGCCTCCGTGGAGTGAGCTCTGCGGATACCCTGTCTCCTCTGCAGCTCTCCTACCTGGTGTTTTATTAGTAGGAACAGTTGCATGAACACCCCCCCCAGACTCACAGTTGCTTAGGAATTCATCTGCTCCTGCTGCTCATTGCTCACCTGAAATCACAAGCAACTGTGGAGAGGATTATGACTGAGTGAGAAATTAGCAGGAGCAGATGACATGACATGTCGCATAACAAGCAGCCAAAAATCCTATTTTCTTGCAAAATGTCCTACCAAGGCGGGGGAGGCAGGGGGAAGGCAAACACAGAAGATCTACAGTTATGGTAGAGGGATAATTTCTATTCCTGGAAGAGCTCAGAAAGCTTTGGAAACGCAGACAACCACTTCCACAAATGGGGTTTCCACATCCCAAAGGTCACCCACAAGGAATACACAAGGAAGAGGTTTCAGAATAAACACATCCATAAAAAAGCTTCTTTCTGCTCCCTCTATTCATTTGCTAAATGGATGAAATATTCAGCTTCTCGCTGAATTGATCGCTGGAAGTTGCTGACAAATCACACTCCTCTCCCAGCACCGAGTCCCTGCAGGGGTGCCAAGAAAGTGCAAAATCCAAAAAATATGGCAGATACATCAGGAAAATAACATGCACCAACCAGCTGGGCCGAAGGCCTCACCAAAACCCAGATGATGCTAGGGTCAGGGGAGCTCTGGCCACTGCATCCTTGGTAGATGGAGCCACTGGAAGCAGTAACCCACCACCGCTGCCTACGGCTGCCTCGGGAGACCTGCTGCCGGCAGCTACACGCAGCTCTTCTAGGGCGGCAATGTCCTCTCCTGCTCCAGCTAGGCTACCAGAGGGGTACCAGCAGCCTCACAGGGGCCCTTTTCAACTTTTCTCCTGGCCCTAATACCAACTGCGTGCCTGCTGCTCCACAGACCAATTCTCCGGATGACTTTAAATATTCTCTTCCCATTTGCCCAGGTGACAGCAGACCCCGGCTCCTGGAGTGGATAACAGTGCAGTGATGGGTTTTAGCCTGTTCCATGTCCATACATTCACCTCTTGGGCTGAAGGGACGAGACATCCACCCTCCTGGGGGTACTGAGGGCTTGCATCTCCCATTTTGGGGTCAGTCTCAGGGCTGACAGCTACAGCAGGCACCCCCAAGCCCTTCATCCCACTCGTTCTCATCCCAGACACGTAGTTGTCGCGGGTCTGCGGATCTGCCCGGGGTCATGACTTTGCAGTAGAGAAGTTGTGTGGCTTGAGGTACGTGGGCTAAAGGTCTACAACACTGGAGGGCACTGGGCTTGACTGGTCCAGTATGTCTTAAGCTCATACAAAGCTTAATTGTACTGTGTACTAATTGCCTTTAAGAGAAGACTAAAGAGAGGGTGACAGCAGGGAAGAAAATATCCAGAGGATACAGCTGTGTTCCCCAGCCAACTTTCAAGGGACTTTAAGTGTCCAGTCCCCCTGTCCTGGGAACAGTGAGAGCTTGCACTGGGGACAGCCAAACACTGGCAGGATGAAAGAGCCTGGTCCACTGGAGCAGGTCCATTGGCTCACTGGACAATGAGCCTGGTCCAAGCTGCCCAAGGGGAACCCGGACTGTAACGACATGGGGCTTGCTAAAAGGACAGTGGCTGGGGTTTGGGAGGCCATCGAGTTCTGCTGGCCCTACTGCTCAGGCTAAGGGCCAGGGAGGCACTTCCAATCCAGGATGCAGTAGCTTGCAAGGACCCCTTGATGCCTTGGGTGGTTCTTCTCCTCTAGCCACCCTACCCACCCAGGCCATGCGAGGTTGGGATGCTCACCAAGCCACAGCGGCTGCCCCTGGGAGTTGAAGAGGAGGCTCTCGCCCTCTCGCTGGTAGGAGGGAGACATGTAGAAGTCACTGCTAATGATGCGCTGCAGGTGGCTATCCTGCCAGTGCAGGTCACAGCCCTCGATCGCACGGGTGAACACGGTTCTTCTGGGCCTGGCCAGCGAGTCTGCAAAGAGAAAAACCATCAGTGCCTCAGTGGGGGCAGGGGCAGCCCATTCCTGCCCCCAGACACAACCTCTCTGCGCAGAGCAATGCGTTTACAGTGGGAGCAAAACCCCACCACATCCCACCCAAGCTGTTTCCGAGCTGAGCACAGGGGCTCTGGCAGATTGCCTTTAGATACCTGGCTGCCCATCCCGTCCCTGATGGAGACTGACATCTCCTTAGACAGCACTGCTAAGTAACTAGCTGTGTTGGCCAGAGGGGTGAGAAAAGAGGCATGGACTGCCCATCCCTTGGCTGACAGTAACCCACCGTCACACAGGAGGGTGACACCTGGAAATGTGGCAGCGCATCTCCACCCCTGTGATGGATGGCTCTGGCTCTGTCAGGGATCAGGACTGGACTTCCCAAGAGTTGCTGCCCCATAAGCACCATGAGTTCTCCTGCTCCAATGCAAAATCCTGGCTTTGCTGAACCACAGCTGCTTGGATCGGCATGAAGGAAACTGCAGGAGCGTGTCTCACCTGCCTACGGGCCAATGGGGGGAACCATCACCTTCCAGCAACCTCCTCTGGCAGTGTAAGAGGGCTGGAAGGGAGGAGACGGCATTGCCTGAAACCCCACCGCTGCACGGCAGCAGACGTCTGCTACCCTTCAGAGCTGCTCTCTCACCTCACTGACATCAAGTTTTGAAGCTATTGAATGCTGAATGAGCATTTCACTCCATCCAGACAGATCAGTCAAGTGGTTTGTCAGGAGGAAAAGGCCTGTCCGGAGCAATCCTGCTATCGCTCCAGCCCCATCGGATCACAAGGGCCAAACACAACCAGCAGGTTGCAAAATAAGAAGCCCCGAAGGGGACGCAACGCAGAATGTTGGGTCCTGCGACCCAAGAGATGGGCTGAGATAAGTGCATTCAAGGGGGGAAAACAAAAAGCACAGCTCAAAGATGATCCAGGGAGGCTGGATAAACACAGTCCGGAAACGATGGCAACAAGCAATTAGCCTGAATGCTGCAGGCACCCCGAGGTGGAGAGAAATTAAACAGGTGTTCGTACGTACGGAACCAAGCCTGCTCACTTTACCACGAAGGATTTCAGGAATCAGCTGTTCTCCCTTCAGTAATAAAAGAGGCTGGCAACAATCTGCAGCAGTATTTGCATATGCACAAACACTAACCCCAGGACTCCTCCAGGATCCGCGAGGCTGACAGTCCCCTGCTTGGAGAGGCAGAAGTAGGGGACAAGGGGACATCCCAGCACGCGCTTTGGAAACTCCCTGCACGTCTAAAATAAGTGACCTGCTCAGCCCCAGCAACCTGCCCTGAATGCCCGAGCGAATCCTCAGCGGAGCTGGGAACACCAAGGGGGAGTCCCGGGGCTGGCTCAGGACATGGAGCAAGGCCAGGTTTAAATTAAGCTGCTCCCTGAGGATGCACACGGGGCACACGGTCCTGGCCGTGGCTGGGGTGGGCTGGCAAGACGGCCGTGCTCCCAGTGTGCTGCTGGGGGGCTAATCACACGCAGAAAAGTGAAGTTTCCTTCGCGGCACAGCTGCCGTCCCCTCTCCTCATCCCACTTTGGCCGCACGTAACACACCGAAGCGCAATTCCAGCGCAGCAGGTGAGGGGACGGTAAGAGCAGTAGCTTTCAATTAACGTCTACTTGAGTCAAAAGCAAGGGGGAAAAGTGTTTAAAGGGATCAAATGCTTTGTCAGGGGTTGAGAAAATATTTTAGTACTAAGGAACAAGCACCCAACTACGTTGCTCCATTCGTGCTCTGCACCTGACATGCGTTTAACATTCCTGGCTAAGGATTTCTTTCCCACCTGAACTGGACCAGAAGCAAGGCTCAAGGGCTGGGAGAGGGGCTCTGCACCACCTCCAGCTCCTCATTCTCACATTACAGCTAGGGCTTCCGAGGTCAGCTATGCTCTGATTCAAGCAGTGCTAGCTTTCTGTAAATCTCCATACCCCAGCCTGCACAGATCGTAGGGGTCTGAACTCCTCCAAGGTCAAATTGCTTTAAAACAGCCTCTAATTTGATGCTTAAAATACAGGTGATGTCACCCAAGATGTAGCAAAGAGCCAAACGTTTCCAAGTGTGTCTAAACCCAGAGGCTGTAAAGAGAAATGTCCTGTGTTCCCCTGACTCCCAGGGGCATCACCAGCAGGTGAACTGAGGTCTCTCAACTCTGGGGTGAGTTTTGACCCTGACCCCAACCTCCGTGGCCACCGGATGGATTTCCACTCCCTGCCTGGACTCACCTTGGCTGTGACCGGAGCTCTGCGTAAGCGCGTTGGTGATGTTGGGAAGCTCGTTACCATAATTACCATCTTCCAGGGGACAGACGTCCATCTCGCCCCACTTGCGCAGCTGCCGGAGCCAGCAGGATTTCTCTTCCAGCTTGCAGTGCGGGTTTAACACCACGCACACCCACAGTGCCCCTAAACAAAGCCAAGAAATCAAGGAGGTGCCACCACCGTACTCGCGGGGCCAAGCTCTTCCGCTGCTGCGCTCGTCGCGGTAGCCTGCAAGGTTTCGGTGCCGTTCGTAAACTCATTTCAGCATAATGCACAGACCCAGGAGGGGATTTAGACAGCTTTTAAATAAAAGTAAAACTCCTCTGTAATGAAGCTAAATTATAATCTCATGAGATGGGGGACAGTGGGGAGGGGGGAAGGAGAGAGCGGCTGTGTATGAATTTGTGAGTGCTTCTGTCTGCCAGGACAAATCTAGTGTTTGAACTACACATCAAAGCATGCTTAAAAACACCCTGGCAAGCTGCAGAGTCTGTATCTCCAAAGACTAACCTGATTTTGATCCTACCCACGTTCCAAGCACTTTAAAGCCCGCTCCAAATGCTATTTCATCTGCCATTGTTCTTCAGGCCATTTGCATTCAACTATTTAAAAAGGAGATTTGGTGTATTTTCTTCCCTTCTTTTTTTTTTTTTTCTTTTTAAATCCCCAGTAGCCCCCAGCCTGCAGAGGATCCTGGAGCTTGGCTTGATCTCCTGCAGGCAAGAGCCCTCCAAGATGTGAGCCCTCCAGATCTCGCAAGCAGAGGTGCCCATCAGCAGGACGCCCACGCTGACACCCTCCGGGTCATCCACGGGACCTCGCAGAACAGACGATGGTGTCTGCTGCGTGAGAGACAAAACCAGGCCCAAGGACACCCGTCATCATTAAGATCCAACTCATCCTTTCACAAGACAAGGCTGATGCTGGTGCTGCTGACCGAGCCTTGCCGACACTCCTGGGTCACCCCCTGGTCTGAAAAGGGCTGCAGCAACCCAAATAAGCGCAAAACGGTGAATTCTCCTTTAGCCAATTGCATTTCTGCCCAAATTTCCCTGCAAGGCTGCCAGGATACAGCATGTTCCCTCCCCCTTGTGCCTGCCCCGCGGGGTGGGATGGCTGTGTGCTGGCACAGCTTCAGTGCACGGTGTCCCCAGGGATCCCCCCGGGCTGCTCTTCTCTGCCTGCGTTGGATCCTGCCATGCAGAGGGACAGCTCAGCCTCCCGCATAAACACCCTCCTCAGCCTCTCCTCCACGGGACCAGCGGAGACTGGAGCACCTTCCCTCTCACTGCCCAGACAGCTGCTCTCCCCCACCTCTCTATCACTCCTGAAGTTCCCATCCCAAAGCGACGGGCAGTGGCAGGACAGCATCACCAGACAACAGCTCCGCTGTGCAGCGAGGGGATTCCTGCACGTGCCCAAACCGCCACCCTTGCTCGCTGTGGTTTGTGCGGCGGCTCCCCAGTTGCACAGCCATGCCGTCAAGTCAAACAGCCCCAAGCAAGCAGCCAGTTCCTTTTCCAGGCAGCGTGAGGCAAAGCCAGACTGAGCAGCAACATCCCGACTCCAGCTCGACTTCGATGTTTCCCTGCTCCTTCGGGTTATAGCCGAGATTTGGTGGTGCTTTTGGAGTGCATCCCCTGGGACCCGTCCTCTGTCAGTTGGGACTTGTGGATGTGTTTGGTTCAAATCATTAACAAGGTGTGGAGGCTGTGCATGCTTGGCTCCTTGCAGAGGGTTGACTTGGCTGGCAGGACGTCACAGCATCACAACGCAGATGGTGGCAGCAGCACCCCATCCAGGAAGGGGTACGGGAAAAGAAACCGCAGGCACTGAAGATCAGCAAATATTCAAAGCAGCCCTCACCTGGTCCAGCTCCATCCTCACCTCAGCTCTGCTGCTCCCAGGAAACCCCACTCGTTTCTGATGAACGAGGGGAATAAGACTTTTGAGCTGCAACGTCAGCGCTTAATGCACATCCAAGAGAAGAGGCAACTCCTTAGGAGCTTCTGAGACCCATCCCTCCCAGAGCGTGCCACTCGCTCCCAGGCTCCCGTAGGCTCCACGGGGGCTGCACAGTCACTGAATCTTCCAAAAGGTCAAGTCTCAGCTCTGGACAATGAGTCTTCATTAAGGCTCTGGTTAGTGCCCCTCAGCTGAGCAGTGGGTGCCTGCTTGCTGCCCATCCCAAGGGCATGAAAATTCCCAGCTCCTCAGGCAGGCATGAGCCAAATCCTGCGCTTAGCTCCTGGTGTTGGGCATCCTGGAGCTCCGACTGGCACCCCCTTCTCTCCAGCACTCCTGCCTGTTGTCACTGCCCCTCTTCACCCGCTCCGGGGCTGCCTGCGCACAAAGCAGCCGGCGGCGATTTTGGCTCATGCCTCCGACAGTGAACAGAGCGGCTTGGCTAACAGGCGGTAATGAGGCTCCCGTACTCCAGCTCCACCACCCCCAGGAATGGGATGCGCCTGCTGGATTTTTGGCTCCCACAGCACATTTAAGATGTGATCCTCGGAAGCCTGATGACTTTGCAGTCTGTTTTTGGGATCCCGAGGCAACATTTGCCTGCCAAAACGCTGTGCCCCTGGGCTCTCCTGCAGAAGGAAAGATGTGGTGGGGAGGCGGGGACAATGAGGGAAGAGGGATTTGCATCTGTCTTGGCTGTGATAGTTATCTGGGAGATGGAAAAGAGGGGTTTTCTGTGCCCGATGGTCAAGTGACATCAGCTGACAGCACAAGTGACTCCTGTCCTGAGCCGAAATGCCGCGCCGGGTCAGACTCCCTGTCTGTTCACATGCTGCAGAAACCTTCATCTGAACTTTCCGATAGCAGAAGGTTAAGTGGGGAACAAAGCAGCAGATCATGATTAAGCTAAGCCTCTAAACAAAAATGCTTTTTGATGACAGGGCTGGGTGCAGGGAAGGGGGGGTTGGAGCTTTCCCACCCCAGCAGCCCCGGCTGCCGGCCCCAGAGAGGACAGGCACTCCGATCCCGCGCCCAAGTTTCCAAACCATCAAAGAAATTCTCCCGTTTCCCACAGGGTCGCTCCCTGGCTTAATCTGCTGAAATTCCCCACTGTAAACAAGTGGCCGAGATAAATAAACCCGTCTCCAGGCAGATTAAGGTCAGGCTGCACTTCAGCTGGTTTTTCGTCTATTTTTTGTAATTAGGCTTTAATCGTAAGTACTAATGCGCCAGGGCAAATACTCCCACGCCGCAGAGCTCTCCATCCAGCAGGTCTTTCCTCTGGCTCCCCAGCAGACGAGGCAATAGATGTTCAGTTGGCGGCACATGCGCAAGCAAACGATGCCCTTTTTATTTTAATTTTTTTTCTTTTAAACTCTGAAATCCTGCAAAATCCTTTACATTTTCCCCAGCATAAATCCACAATCTTCTTTAAAGCTGATCTTCTTCCAATCCCACGCAAGTCTGTGATGCAGTCTTTGCTAAAATCGATGATTAATTATTAAACACGTGCCCAAAATAATTTCCACGAGGCCTGCTTTTCTCTTCCACGTGGCAGGGGAAGGCGGTCTGTGCCGGGGCTTCCCACGGCAGCTGGCACCAGGCCTCTCATCCTTCCCCTTGGCAGCAGCAGTAATGCCAGGCAGCTTTGGCATGCACAGACGACGTGCCTTCACCACCCTAAACGCCCGGGCTACCGCTGTCTGCCCAGCGATGGTTTGGGACGTGTCTCCACATTGCTGATGTTCGTTATGAGTGAACATCAGCTCACTGCAGTTCTGGTTGCTCCATGCCTGAACTCTTTCTTCTGAGGGATGCTCTGTTCCCACAGCAAACGCTGCCCAGGTCCAAATCCAACAGGATTCTGTAAGATGGGCGGTAATCCTTGCCCTGAGTACAGCCCATGCCCATCCTGCCCTGGAGCCACTTCTTGGACCATCACCATGTCCTCCACAGGGGCCTCTCTTCAGCAGAGATGCCCAAATCTCTCCCGCATGACGTGCCTACGCCAGGCGAGCCGCTCGCTCTGACGCGCGTTGGCTGGCACCGCGTTCCACCGGCTGTCACGCTGACCCAGCCTTGGTAGGGCCCTGACCTTCCCTAGCCACCTTGCCATCTGCTGACGGGGACCTGCCATCGCCTCCTCCTGCTCTGCTGACCAAAACTACCCGCACTGACCTGGTCCTTGCACAGCTAAGCCAGGACTGAAACACAAGCACTTCCTCCTCATGTATGCAGGAGGGGAGGGAGGGCTCTCGGTTTGGATAGCAGGATAGAAATCTGGCCAAATAATCTGTAATTCTGGGAAAACAGCTTCCTGCATCCAGGCCTGCCCAGACACCCATCCACCCACGTTTCACCAATGGGTTTGCTTTCTTCTGTGTGGAAATTCTGGCTTGGTGGATTTGGCCCCCGCCCTGGGATCCTTCCGTATCCAACCATCTAGCTGCAGCATCCCAAAATCCTAGAAATATCTTCTTGGCAAGCAAGCACACATGAGCTCTTCAGGGCTGGCGTGGTTATTTCCATCTCGGGAACTTCACACAGGGCGAGTCATCCCACCCCTCCTGGTCCTTGTCTGCGCCGTTTGGCCAGGCTCTCCGGTCTCACAGCTACATTTGCATTATTGGCCTCTTATTACGAGGGTCCCAGATGCAGTTTCAGGTACTCCAGACCCCAGACCACCCTCAACCTTCTTCCAGCCCTACCACATCCCTTTGTGGGCAGCCCGGGAGCCCTTTGCCCTTACACAGCATCTCTCACTAACAGGCTGCAGAGAAGCTCCAACTCATTCATGAAACGATGGCACAAGTCAAATGATTCACCCCAAAGATCCCCGATGTCCAGGAGAGCCCAGGAGTTCTGGATCAACTCTGCCACACAACCAACCTCCCCAGCCCCAGGTCATCCAAATGTTTAATGATATTAAGGTGGTGTCAGCCAGCTGAGCTGGTGCCTAAGGTGCTTAGCCAGAATTACCCAGAACCGCGCTTCCCCTAAAGCCAGGCTCTGCGCTGGCCATCCTGCCCCTCTCACCCTGGAAACACGCACCACAGCAGGCACAAATCCGTTAGACGGGACAAGACTTGAGAACCTGCCTCTCTGGATCACGGTTCCTCCAGGAACAGCACTTCCACATCCCGGCTACATCCAGCCCATGTGTGTTCCCTCGCAAAGGCTTCGAGGCAGCACCAAACACCAGGATGCTGCAAGTATGGGACCAGCTGCACTCCACACACCCATCATCCTTGACTCCTTTGCAGAAGAGGGGCTGGTTTAAGCTGTGGAACTGTGTAATTTGGGCCTGATCCAAGGATCCCAACCAGGATTTTCCCCAGCAGGGGATACAGCAAGCTCCTGGCATCTCTCAGGGCCTCTGCCCCCAAAAAAGAGCCCCCAAAACCTCTGGGATGATGCCTGCTGGACCAGGCAACCCTGAGATGCTCTCTGCAAGGCAGTGACCCTTACCCAGCTCATCCCAGAGCTGCCGGCACTTCTCCGTTATGCCCGTTCCCTGCTGCCTCCAGAGGGAGAGCCGAGGATCGGCCATGAACTGCTCCGTTATCAGCGTCAGCATCCTGGCCCCATTGGAGTCCCTCATGCGCAGCATCTCCCGAACCTGGAAAGGACAGAGAGAAGGTCCTTTGTGAGACAAACCACAGTCCCCTGGGGGTGTTTAATACATGGTCACCTGGCTGGCAACCCACAGCTCCCTCAGTCTGGGGGTCAAGACTGTAAGTATATACGTGCATAATGTATAGTAGTGCCTTGTAACACTCATGCAATAGCTGTGACCTGGCTGGTTGGAGTCCAGCTGAGCCACAGCCGAGGCTGTGAAGGGGACCAAGCAATCAAGAACATGAAAACACGGCCCTTCTGCAAGGAAAGAGAAGAGCCTGTAGGCTGGTGCCACCTCTCCGTGGTCTCGGCACACTCTGCAGGGTTGGCTTTACCCTCACCATGCCGGTTGGGAGACGGGGCAAAGCCCTCCCTCATGCAGGGATCATGGCAAGCCCACCACGTGGGAGGAAGGGACCTGCCCCGAGAGTGAGACAACCCAGGCCTGACCCAAAGCCTGGATTACAGCCGCCTGCTCTGCGACCGGGCGAGAAGGCACTGGAGCAGAGATTCCCAGCTGTGACGGGCACACTGCCAGGGCAGCCAGCATGCTGCTGGCTACGTGACACGCCGAGCGGAGAGGAGAGAGAGCAGCCGGCTCCTCCTCACCTTGGCAAACATGGAGTTGAGCTGCTTCCCCGAGCCGTAGTACCCTCCCTGAGATAGGAACAGCTTCACCTGCTCTCGGACCTGCTCCTCGTCCAAGTGCCAGCAGTTCTCATCATCAATGCTTGCCCCAGCAGTGGGGTCAGGAGCACCTGGGTGGACAGGGAGGGAGAAGAAAAGAGACAACAGTGTTTATAGCCACAGGGTCAGCAGTCCCACCATCAAGAAGCAGTGGACCTACCTCTATTTTATACAGATCCACCTCTATTTTGTCATCTCAGGTGAGAGAAAACTAACCACGTTCCCAGGCAGCGAGCCCAGCTGACAGCGTCATGCTCTCTGTCCACAGCAGTGGCACCAGCCGTGAACAGGGACTGCAACCGCAGGGCTACTGCCTATTCCTATTCCCTCTCTGTGCCCTCTGTGCCCCAGGTGCTGAGGGAGAGCACAGACATCCCTTCCTTAAAGTCCCAGCCATGAAGGCAGGGCAGCTGCAGAGCCCGAGTGCTCCCTGCATCGCCCGGGGTGCTCCTCCTCCTGGCTCCACATCACCAGTTTGTTTAAGCACCAGTAAAGCTCCGATTCCTATAGGCCCTTCCCCATGCTAGGAACAGCCTAACAAAGGTACCACTGCACGGGGGTTCTGGGTTAAACGCCTGGTCCTGCCCCTCATTTGCTTTAGGACAGGGGACAAGTACCTGTGCATCAGTGTACCTGCCTGGGAGAGACCCTCCGCTGGCAAGAGCAAAGGACTGAGAATGCTTCAAAGACCAAACTGTGACCAGAGCAGGGCCTTTGGCAGGCGCACACATGGTTCACAGGCTGTATTTCAGCTTCCACAGAACAAAAAAGAAAGAAAAAAAAAAACCCAGAAGTGCTTTAAACAACAGCTTGGATCCACCTCCCCTCACCTTACCCCTTTCAATTCCCATTTTCCCCCCATCAAGCCCTGTCCTACCTCCCAGCAATGCCCCAGCTTCCCAGGCTCGCACAGCACAGCTCCAGCCAGCAGCCGGGAGTGCAAAAGGGAACAGAAACTCAGCTTTTTGGCTTCCTGCTTTTGAGTCCTGCTCTGTGGAAACTCCTCAGGGAAAACCAGTGCCGAGGAGGGACTGGTACAGCTGGAGGATGCTCCCCTCGCTTTGGCCTGCTTCTCCCATCTCGTCTCCCTTGCAAGCAAGGGAGGGGTTCAGTGTAGGAAAAAGCGAGGCGCTGCATGGACAGCCAAGGAAAGAGCTGCAGCTGACACATTCCTGATTAAATTGTAATGGCGTCTTCCTCACTCGACTGGGATCTGGGTGGGGAGCAGACATGGCTTTCACGCGGATATGGCTTGGGATGCTGCGCACGCCCCAGCCCTGTGCGTTCTGAACCAGGAGCGCAAATGCAATTCATGAAAATCAAGCTCCGGGATGCCTGCTCAGCTGGACGACTGCCTCTTCTTGGCTTGTAAGAAAGGACATCAACCCGAGGGCTTTTGCTCCTCCGGCGAACGCTGAGAACACCCCTGACCCGATAAAGATACAGCTATTTGTATTTAATGTCCTTTACAAAATTCCTTTAATTTCTGCTAAGAGTCTCTGCCCGAGAG